GGATATTCTTAGTTTCTTAACCCAAATGTACAGAGCTTTGCAAAATGCTGCTGAGCAGCTACCAGAGGTGGGTTAAGAGGTAGCAGAAGCCTACAGATGAGCCTACAGGTATCAAATCCTGCCTGTGGTTCAGGCAGCGTGTTGCAGCTCCAGCAGTGGTTACACCTATCCGGGTAAAACCACACTGACCTAATTAAATTATGGCAGTGGTAGGGTTTACCTATGGAAATGTGGTTATTTGGCCTTTAAACTTGTAAAGACTTGAGGGACTATTCTGGGATTGAAATGGGCTTTAGAAAGAGAAGGAAGAATTACAGCTCGCTGTGTATCACCACGGGCTTTTAACCTTTTTCTGAATGTGCAATGAGATCCTTGTCAGTGAAAGGGCTTTGCGCCTCATAAATTTAGGTAAATATTTATTTATTTGTTGCTTTGGGCGTTTTCCTTTTGGGGAAATGTGTTGCCTTAAACTTCAGCTCTCCAGTGTGCAAGTTAGGTACTGCAACAGAGAGCTCAGCATTGGTTCGTGAAGGATGTGGGAGATGCTGTAATTTGTGGAGCTGGCTATGTTCCTTCTGGAGCAGGACGATAAACGCAAGGCTCTGTAGCGAATATTTTTTTTTCTCCCTTAGTTCTGGAGAAGGCTCATCTGGTTCATAACTACCATGGAAACAGCATTTTTAAAAAGGCATTTGCACATCAAGTGAAGGCCTGACACTATCAGAGGGCCACTTGGAGGGACATCAGAGCAAAAACTGAAATGTACTGAAGCCGAGCAAAGGAAGCTCTTGATGGTGGCATGAGCAAAGACTTCAGAGGAGCCCTCTTTTCTTTCTTCCCTCTTTTTTACTAACAGCATGGCTGAATCCCTTCAGATCTCTTTTGTTACGGCTCTTTGAATGCCTAAGCGGAACCTGGACATGGGTCATGTTTTTTGAGCCCAAGGATTTTCTCTCTGGATCCTGTGTGGGAGCTCTTACTCTTGGAGAGAACAGATAGGGCAGTTGCCAGACCAGTGTTTGTGGCTAATGGATGATGCTGGATTTGGGTGGTGGGGAGGAGACTGAGTCTTTTACCTGCTTGCATGCAATATTTATGTCTGTTGTAAGAATCACAGAGTGGTTAAGGTTGGAAGGGACCTTGAAGACCATCTCGTTCCAACCCCCTCTCTCCCACCAGCCCAGGTTGCTCCAAGCCCCGTTCAACCTGGCCTTGAACACTCCCAGGGATGGGGCATCCACACCCTCCTTGGGCAACCTGTGCCAGTGCCTTAGCACTCTCATGGAGAAGAAAGAAAAAATGCAACAGAATTCCTGGGTGCTTACCTTGGCCAGTTCATTGAATGAGCTGATGAGTAGGACTGGGGAAGGTTAATGGGACCACCTGACCTGAGCCCCACATTGCCAGATGTTGGAGAAACCTAACATCCCTGTCTTACGAGATCCTTTAATACATTGAGGTCCGTCTGTACTCAGCCATCCCTCCACAAAGAGTTTGCACTTTGAATATATAGGATGTATACTTAGATATTAGAATGAAACTCTTCGTTGTGAGGGTGGTGAGACCCTGGCACAGGTTGCCCAGAGAAGCTGTGGATGCTTCATCCCTGGAATTGTCCAAGGCCAGGTTGGACGGGGCTTGGAGCAACCTGCTTTGGTGGGAGGGGTCCCTGCCCATGGCCGGGGGGTTGAAACGAGATAATCTTTAAGATACCTTTCAAACCATTCTGTGATTCTGTGACATAGCACAGCTGCGCACAGCAACATTCTTTTTCTTCCTTTATCTTTGATAATATCTCTACACTGTATTTATTAGTCCATGACCACGTGAGACAGGGTTGGATCTATTGTTTATGCAAACACTACCACACATGAGGGTGCTTTTCACTTGTTTGCAGGGAAATTTTTTTTGAAAACTCAAGCCCTGGTTGTGTATGTTTTGTTTGTTGGTTTTTTTTTTTCCTAATGAATCGTTGTTGCTGTATTTGACATAATTTCTCTTTGTAGAGTTAATTTCCCATGAGGAATCAAAGCACAAACTCTGGGTTTTATTTCAGTGACTTGTTCTCTTTGCTGCCTATCTCTCTCATCTGTACAGTGGGAATGGAAAGATCCATTTTCTAAAGTTTTGTCTAATCCTAGTGAAGTTGCTATGGTGTTGAATCTCTCCTTAATCTGGATGTCACGCTTATCTTTCAGGTTTTTATATAACCGAATGGGATATTGGAGTGACTGGTCCATTCCAATACTTGTGACAACTGCTGCTGGCTTTACATACATTACAGTGTTACTGGTGAGTTGGAAAAAAAATGCCATTTCCTAGAGGTTTGTGTGTTCATTTTTAAAAAGGGCATGAACTTCCTAGCCCACCTACAACTTGAGCGATTTTCCTTTCAGAAGTGACTTCTCTCTCTCTTTCTTTCTGTCAGCCTTAAGTTGCCTAAAATAAAAAGTGAAAAATTCATGGTCGTTGATCTCAGATGATCAAACGCAAAGATGAGAGCCCTGATACTTGTGGCACAGTTGGCCCGAGTACAAATATAGCTTTTGTTCCCATTAGGGTGGCCCAGTTTCCACTTTGGTGTGGAAATCACAAGCGTAAGGTGTTTCCACTCACCCCAGGGTGCACCTTGGGTCAAAATCTTTCCTTCCAGATCTTTGGCCTTGGAGAGGATATTTTTGTACCTGAGCCAGGTGTGGTGTCTGCTGGACCATCCTCACGCCAGCCCTGCTTTCTGCCCTGGCCTGTTTAGTTATCTTTTTGGGTAGTGATGTGTTTCAGCATGTCCTGTCACTTAAAGGTTGTGCTATGCCTATGTCTGACTCTTGATTTCCTTCTCTCAGATACTGGCATTATGTCACATAGCTGTGGGACAGCAAATGAACCTGCACTGGCTTCACAAGGTAAGTGGCTCTTCTCAGCTTGGAAGTGAGCAGCATCTCAATAAAATGGGATGTGTGAGGTCCTCGCTGTCTTTTTGGGAAGACCATAAATTGTAAATGTCTATGGTGTGTATGTCCTCATCTCAGAGAACTGAGCAGATTGTGCACTAGGATGGTCAAAGCCTGGGGACAAAAACTTTAGTGAAACGCTTTGGGGTCCCTGCTGATGGATGGCCACCTTCTGGAGACTGAGGAACACCAGGTCCTGAGAGCAGCCTGACTTTAGTCTCAGCTCAGCCTGGGTACTCCATGACGAACCTCTCTGGTGCTCCTTCCTGTGCTGAACCCAGTGCTGGGATGATGGGCTGAGCAGATGTGAAGCTTGGATGAGCTTGGAGGACCTGACTGGAAAAGCCTTGGGAGAAGATCATAGAATCATATGTAGATGTAGTTGTTAAAACTGAGGGTGTGCAACATGCAGGTTGTGTTATGCTGGAACCCAAGGAGATCCTGATGTGTATGTAAGGCAGCTTGAAAAATTCCTGTGAAAATGTAAGAGAAGATGCACATCTGATATTTGGAGTGCAGAAGGGGAAAGGGAGGGTGTGTAGCAAGCTGAAGGGAGAGGCAAAACCAAAGAAAAGGGCTTGGCAGAATTCACTTGTAACTGCCAATCTGCTATTAGGTAATTAAGGGCCAGTCCTGAATCTGCTGCTACACAGCTTCTCCTGGAATTGGTTGTTCTGCACCTGACATGGTCTTGCAGGATCAGAGCTTGAACATGTGTACCACCCTGCAGGACAGGGAGAGCGTAGACCTCCTTTTCCTCTCTTATTTCTTTCCTGCCCCTCCAGAAACTATAGAAATTATGCTTCCTTGGGATGAGGGGATGCAATGCAAAGAGAGGGTGGGGACCCTCTGACTGCTGCCAGAAAATAAATTGTAAATTCTTGAGTCTAACGTATGTTTCTTCATTGGGGGAAGTGGTATTTTTCAGACACGTTCCAGGTGGCTGGTGGGTTTGGATGAGTAAGTCCAGAAGAGGAACGTGTTGGAGATCAGTTAGCTCTTGCCTACAGAAACCCACCTTTCCTTTCCTTTTTCCGAAAAAGTCCACCTTTCATCGCAACTCAGATGCATTGCTCTGTCTGTCTCTTCCCTTCCCCACACCTCCCTCAGCTTTCAAAGAAAGTTGAGATAAGCGACTGGAATAAATTAATGTTATTCTCTGCACCCGTGCTGAATTACCTTCAAATATAGACTAAGTCGTGTGGGAAAGGCTGATGTGTGCCAACTGCACGATTCCTTCCAATTTTCTCTTGTAACCCTGCAAAAAAAGGCGCTGAGAATTGTAAGCCAAGTGGGAGATGTGCAGCGGGGAGGATAAGAAGCAATAAATTGGAGCTGATGGAAGGAGGAAGCAATGGAATGGAGATACGATTGTGTCCTGGCCCCTTCTGTGCTGCACGAAGCAGCGACAGGATGAGAGGCAATGGCTTTAAACTAGAGTAGGGTAGATTCAAGTCAGATGTTAGGAAAAGGTTCTTTACAATGAGGGTGGTGAAACCTTGGCCCAGGTTGCCCAGAGGTGGTGGAAGCCCCATCCCTGGAGACATTCAAGGTCAGGCTTGATGGGTCTCTGAGCAACCTGATCTAGTTAAAGCTGTCCCTGCTCCCTGCAGATGAGCTTTAAAGGTCCCTTCCAGCCCAACACATTCTATAATTCTATGACATCAAGGGGAATTGGGGCTGTATGGAAGAAATCTAACAAAGTCTTCTGTTGCTGCTGACTTCAGCTTTGGGGGGATATAAAAATGGGTGAAAAGTAGATTCAATCCAGGCTGTGTGCTCAAGTCGCGTTCTTGCAGGTGGTCTAGAGGTCTGACCACAGGGTGGAGGAGCAGAGCTACTACTACTGCATTTAAGGCACCGTGACAAAGTCCAGCTCTCCACCTGTTGTGTTGTGCTTTGTTAGTTCAGAGTCCTTAAGGAAGGAATCCAATGAAACAGCACGCCTTGTGACTATAGGTCACTGCAGGGATGTTTAAATAGGCAAGCAAATCCCATCCTTCCTCAGATGTGCAGAAATGGGCTGCTAAGGGTTAGCGAGTGGTTTGAACATGACCTCTTGGCTCAAGGATCCTCTTCACCTTGGGACAGCCGGAGCTCTTGGCCCCTTCTGCTGCCCCTCGTGCTTTGTTCATGTTCAGGTTGAAGGCTCAGGGTAAGATGGGGACACTGCTGTCCTATGGACACCTCTTGTGCTGCCTGTGGGCATCCTGGAGAGGAAGAGCAGGTGGGATCTGAGGCTCAGCTAAGAAATCTTGTCTTTACATAGAAAAGTGATTTCTATAAATGTTGGGAAGGTGTGTGTTGTCTTTTGCTTGTCTGAGGTATTAAGTAAATCTGAAATCAGTCTAGAGAAGTCCTGTGCTCTGTATCAGTTGACTTTTGCAGCCCCTGCAGGTTTCAGATCTAGACAGCACATGAGAGTGAGATGTAGAGCAGCAGCAGCACCCTTTGAATCTGAACAGCAGAGACTGAGATACCAGAGAGTGAGGTGGAAAATGATGAACTATTTTTTTAACAGGCAGCCTAGATTTTTAGGTCTTTGCAGGTGGAGTTATTTCAATGGCAGTTTTTGACAGTTTGAACTTTTTACCTTCAAAACAGAGGTTATGTGTTCTTTTCGACTACTGAGCTCAGACTTCTGAGTGCTTCCATATGGAGGGAGAGGGAGGCTGGGAAGAGGTGGCTGATGGACAGGGTCTTGGTCTGCCACCTTGGTTCAGCCAACTGTCTCATCTAGAGCCTCATCTCAAGCTGCAATATGTGTGATAGCTGCTCTGTCGACACAGCTTGGATGCTGACTGCCATTTCGAACTCAGGTGAAGTCACGTCCACGCACAAAGTTGTATTTGAACCATCTCTAGATCGTTGCTTAGTGATGGGGATGTGCTGCCTTGCTTGCACACATGCTCACCCTTTACTGAAGCGCAATGTTTGTTGTCTGTTGGGTGTGTTCGGGGTTTACGTCTGAACAGAAGTGTTGGACAAAGTCAACCAACCTCCTGTAGTGCTGGTGTGTCACAGGCTGCTGCAGCAGGGCCAGGACAGCCCAGGATCACCTCCTGCTGGCAGAACCCAATCTCTGTTTAAACTGATTTTGATCCAGTTTGTTGGCAAAGCAAATCACCTGATCTTTCCATACCATTGGCCACTGCTTGAAGAAAGTAAGAGACAATTCAAGAGATGATCCATGAGTGCCCTCCTGGGACTATTTAGCCAAGTGTTTTATCTCCAGTGGTGGAAAAGGGGAGGTTATGCTGGGACACCACACAGGCCCAACCTCTTTCTTTGTGGGTCCTAAGGCTTATTGTTTTAGGCCTTTTATTTTGTACAAAAGTATTTTCTCTCTCTATTTTCCATTCTGTAAAGCTCATATGATAATGAATAGGCTCCAGTGTGTAAATACTCTCATATTTGTTGCAGATTGGCCTGATGACAACCTTGATAACTACTGTGGTGACCATGTCATCCATAGCTCAGCTTTGGGACGACGAATGGGAGATGGTATTTATTTCACTGCAAGTAAGTTGTCTGCAAGGATGCTTCTTCGGGTGGGGAAAGGGGCTGGTGCAGCCACATGTCATGGACTTTGTGTCTTTGTACCGTGCAAAACGCTATGTTGATGTTTGTCACTCCCAACGCTGAAATCTTGGCAACGAGAAAAATTACAGCAAAACTCCCGTGGAGTCCTTAAGGCCACTCTATCACTTTGCCTCCATCTCCTGGGCTCTTTTCTTTAAACTTAATCCAGGACTTGGTTGCAGAGTTTGAGATGGAAAATACTGATGCTGGGTGTGACTCATTGCTGCTGGAGGGAGAGGGCAATTCCTCCTTTTGGTTTGGCTAGCAATGCTCTGGGTGTTGGTGTCCAGGCTTGAACCATCATGCTCTTCCCAGTCCTATGGGAGAAGCATTAGAGGAAAAAAATGTTTGAAACTGCTGATTTCTTGATAGAGCTGCTCTCTTTTCCTTTTCTTCCTCTTTCTCAGCAAGCCTTTCAAGACATATTTTGCCCATGAAAGGCTTGAGAGGCTTTACTGGTGATTGCTGCTGTATAACTGGGAGTATGCAAATACAGGAGGGGAAAAAATAGCACTCACACAAGTGACTAACATTTCTCAGAAGAGCTTCCCTTTTCTCGTTTTCTAGAGGTTTAGGCAGGCAACTGGAGAACAGAAGCATGACTCAGAGGATCCATCTCAAACTTTCTGTCATGGTAGTGCACTGTGGTGATGCACAGTCTAGTGTGTTCATAGAATCACAGAATGGTCTGGGTAGGCAGAGACTTTTAAAGGTCACTTAGTCCAATGCCCTTGCAGTGAGCAGGGACATCTTCAACTAGCCCAGGTTGCTCAGATCCCCATCCAACCTAACTGCTAATGTTTCCAGGGACGGGGTTTCTACCACCTCTCTGGGCAACCTGTGCCAGGGTTTCACCACCCTCATCTTAAAACATTTCTTCCCTATATCTAGTTTGAAACTACCCTTTTTCAGTTTAAAACCATTAGCCCTACAGGTCCTGCTAAAACTATTGTCCTCATCTTTCTTATAAGCCCGCTTGAAGAACTGGAAGGTGCTATAAGGTCTCCTTGGAGCCTGCTCTCCTACAGGGTGAGCAACTCCAACTCTCTCAGCCTGTCCTTGTAGCGGAGGTGCTCTGGCCTCCTGATCATCTTTGGCCTCCTCTAGACCTGCTCCAACAGGTGCCTGTCTGTCCTGTGCCGAGGACGTGATAGCACCAAGAGCCTTACTTAAATTTGTGTGGGATCTAAGGAGGTCTTTTCCAAATATCTCTGTTGTTGGGCAAGCGCTTCCTCAAGAAGGGGTTTAGATTTTTTCTGCTTGGCCTTCACCTTGGCCTGAGTGCCAAAGGGAGTGGTAGGGTCTGGAAGAAGAGATGGCCAAAACAGATGCAGGAACCTGATGTAGGAATGGGTGTGAAATCCGACTGGAAACAGAGCGGTCTGATGCACTGTGGAGCCTGCAAGATCAGACTGACGTATTTGCAAGGTGCTGAAGTGTTTGTCATCTTTTTTTTTTTTTTCTTCCTCTCCTGTTCTTGTGTCCTGCAGGCCACAGCCCCTTTCTTGCACATAGGAGCACTTGCGGCAGTCACAGCCCTGTCGTGGTTGATCGCCGGGCAGTTTGCACGAATGGAGAAAGCCAGTGAGTATCATTTGTGTCCTTTCACAGTGTTCAGGGGCTGGTGGGTGTCTGGTGGGGTGTTGGGTCCTCCCATTGGGAACCAGCTGGCAGGAGGTGGTGCTGCTCATTCCTCCTCTGGGCTCAGTTGTGTTAACAAGGTGGATGATACTCTCCTAGAGTAACCTGGGTGAAACTGGAGTGGGTGAATCTGGTCTGGGGATGCATCCAGAACCCATGGCTGCTGCTTTGTGGTTGGAAGCACACCAGAGTTTCAATGATTAGGGGGCCGGTTAGCTCAGTGGTTTGAGCACGGTGCTGACAAAAAAGACAACACCGAGGTTGCGGGTTCGATTCCCACTCGGTCCCCATGTGTTGCCTGGTCTAGTCGAGAGGTGGTGTCCCTGCCCATGACAGGGAGGTTGGAATAGATGATCTCTGAGGTCCCTTCCAGCCTAGGCCATTCTATGATTCTGTGATAAAAACATCCAGTTTTCCATCAGTCTTCTTCAGAAAACAGGAATGCACCCTCCGCAGCTAACGTGCCGTGTTCTTCTCTGGATTTTATAAGCGCTTCTCCTTTCTCCCATCTCCTCGGCTCTTGTTTACCTGCATTTCTAGGTGGATCTGGCTTTTGAAAGCCATTGTGGACTTGTTGCTTGTGATGCAGTAGCACCCAGAAGGCTCAGTGGAGATCTGGTCCCTTGATGGTTAGGTTCTTCCTTAAATGCACGTTGAGACATGGTCTAAGGGAGCAGAGTGGTGAAGGACACACTGAATCCAGCTCTCCTTATTGAGTCTTGCTCTTCTGTGCATCTCCCTTGTCCCACTTCATTGCCAGGGTCTCTCCGAGCTGTTCTTCCCTTTGTGGAATAATTTGAGCTTTCTGAGCCCTCTGAAGTGTTCTTCTTCAGGGCGTCCATGGATATTCTCAGACATTTGTGCCAGCTCCAGAAAAATTATTTTAAATTAGTATTTAACTTGCAGCAAAATTCAAGCCCTGGAAGGATTTGGCAGCACTTGTGAAAGACTTCCAAGAAATGCAACTTAAGAATGAGGAAGCAGTGTCTGAAGATGGAAAGATTTTGATATTCAGAGAGATCTTTCAAAGAAAGAATTGCTCTGCTTTAATTTATAAATATGCCAATAAAGCCCAGCCTGATTCTTCTTAAATATGTCCTAGCATGTAATTAGGCTACCAGTTGCAGGAGTATTTGTGGTTATGCCTAGAGCAGAGACTACACATACTCCTTCTGAATTCCTCTTATTTTTTCCTCTTGCCAGCTGAGTTCCCTGAATGTGGCTTTTTGTTTGTTTTCAGGAAGCCAGGAAGCTTTTTTTGCTCCTGGGTTGTGGTTTTTTTCATTTTTTTTAAGGAAAAAATTGCATTATTCCTTCATTGTTTTAGGGTCATTTTACTTGTGAAACATATCTTACCTGAAGGAGTTTACAGACTTTTTGGTGCAGATTTGATGTGGTGTTGTCAAAAATGGAAGAGAAGAACTGAAATCTCCATGAGAACCCACAGCCACGTGTAATGGGAAAATAAGATTGCGATCACTAATAATCATGTTTTGGAAATAAGTGGTGCAGCTGCAGTCACTGGTGCAACAACCCGCTCTTGTCATTTTTGACAATCTTCAACTGTCTTTTTTTAATGAGCAAATTAACATTTTTTGTTTGTTTGTTTTTGTTGTTGTTCCCGCTATGCTTTTTCCAAACCTGGAGAACAGAAGTTTCTTGAGTAGCTGCAGTGTTTTAAAAGGTAGTAGCTTGTCTTCAAAGCTTGCTCCTGAGGTCAGGTAGAAAACATTGGACTCAAAGCAGCCCTGGAAGCCTTGAGTAGCAAATGGCAGTGGGACAAACATGCTTTTCTAGGAACCCAGACTAGGCTGGAGTGGTCACTAAGAGCAGGAGGAATGGAGAAGGAATGCTTGTGTTGAAATGTTGTCATTGATGGTGTCGTGTTGGGAGATTTATCTCCTCCTTGCTTGGCCTGGGCAGACCCCAGGAGGTCTTCTTCTGTAGAGACCATCCAACCTCAAATTGACCGATATGTACTTTGCTTGTATTTCATGCATATATTTAATTTATTTTATTTAATTTTTTCTTTGCACGCGGTTGTAGCTCTCACACATGCATTGCTAGGTGAGGTCTTCATCCCTGGATCCTCAGCGTGCTCTGCGACTCATACTTGGGGCATCCTTTCCTTGCAGGTGTGCAGCCCAATGATCAAAACATTTGGAAATCTGAACCTGACCTGTTGAATCCTAAAACTGCAGCACCGGGAAGGAAAGAGACCAGGTTCTTCTCACAGCCTGAGCCTTTGCTGACCATTAGGCTGCTTTGCAAAGCTGGGTTGGTGTGTGGTGGTCCTGGAGTGAGCGAGAACTGGGTCAGGACCACGTCCTGTGTCCATCTGGAGGTTTTTGAATGCACAGCTTGAAGGCACCATATCTTTATGGGGCAGGACGCAGCGTGAGCTCACTTAGCAAGGTGCCCTTCGATTCCTTGAGTGCTCTGTGGGTGATTGACATCCAGAGAGGAGGAAAAATTAGCTGGCAGGGTTGCTAGTGTTACTTTCTGGCTTGTAGGAACATGTCTGAATGAGGCTGGAAGCACAAAGCAGTTTATGTGTGAAACCAGATCAGTTGTGGTCAGGCCCACAGCTGGGCTGTTCAGTCCTTCGCCCAAAAAAACCCCTTGCTTTCCCTATCTTGCATCCAGGGCAAATATTTGAAAGGGGGTGTTTTTGAGGATCTCCCTTGAGTTCCAAAACCATCATGAGCTTGAAAAATATATAATCATATTAAGAAAAAAATAAAAATGAAGGTTTATGCTTTAATATCTGTGTTTTCAAGTGACTCCAAATAGCTCAGGAGTTCAAAGGTGCCTGTTGTCCTTTATAAGGAATGTGCGTCTGTGGGGAACAAGGGTGTTTCTGTTGAGCTGTCAGCACCTTTGAAAGATTCTCAGATACTGTGGATTTTGTGGGAAGTCACTGGGAGTCAGAGGTGGGAGGATGAGGCATGGCATGGAAGGCAGGAGTGCCCCAAGCGCTGCAGCCAGCCCCCTCTGGGCTACATTTGTCAGTCCTGTAACACCATTAGGACTCAAAGATTTATTTAAATGCGTCCAACTCGATTGTTTAAAATGTTATTGCAAATTAGCTCGCTTCTGACTGGCACGAATCCCAAGGCAGGAGCAATTTAAGCGGCGTTACCCTGGCTGAGATGGATGGTGTGGGTGAGCCACCAACGTGAGCCAACACAAGTGATGTGAACCCAAGTGATATTAAATGCATCGACACGGGGCCGTGACTTAGCTGTAGATGTGTTTAACTGGTGATCTGTTTGTGCCATCAGGCAGGGCAAAATTTAGTGCTATCCCACCCAATGGGCTGGATATCAGCAACATTTTGGGCTAAATTGCTGGGACTTTAAGCAACTCTCTTAACTTTTTGTTTCCCTATTACAAAATGAAGTGAAAACTTCCCCCAGGACTTGATTATCTCTATTTTTAAAATCAGAGTATGTTTTTCCCTAAACACAGAGATCTGCTGTTGTACTGTAGACCACCCTCTCCTCTGAGGAAGATGAAGATGTCTTGACTTTGCTCCTGTGGCATGAGGAGGTCAAGGCCAACATTTTCACCAGCTCCTTCCCTCTCTTTTTCTCCACCTCAGCTTCTCAGATGCTGATGTTCTCTGCGTACCTCGCAGTTGTAGTTGCACTTTACCTCGTCCCCCTCACCATCTCGTCCCCTTGCATAATGGAGAAGAAGGCTCTGGGACCAAAGCCAGCCCTTATAGGTCACCGTGGAGCACCGATGGTGAGTAGCCTCATGTTGTTAGTACTGCGTGTTGTCGAACTCTTCTGCCTGATTAAAGGATGGTGCCAGATCTGATGGTCTCCAGGCTGCTCTTTGGAGAATGTATGTATGGTAAATAAAACTTTGTGGCACCCCTCCTGGCTAGAATGACTGTGGTGGTAAATCAGTCCATGAACCCAAAGTCACACCCCAGATGCCCTTGCAAACAAAAGGGCAATCCTTCCCTTGCTCGGGGTGTTTGTGCCATTGCATTTTTCTGGCTGGTTCTGCTGTTTTTGCTCTACAGGCTTGACCCTCGAGCTGCAGCAGTAGAAGTTTGTGATTTTTATTTTTATTTTTCTCTTTAAGAGCTTGAGGCTCAGTCTTCATGCCCTTTACAGGACCTCACCAGCAGTGGTTAAACTCAGCTCTCACAGCAAGATGACTTGAATATGTGGCAATCTGGAAAAAAAATAAAACAAACAAGCTGCACTGACCCTACATGACTGCACGGTGCTCTTGCACTGCTGATCATCATGAGGCTGGGTGAGGTGATGAAACATTCCTGTCAACTGCCTCTGGCTAGACCTTGAACTCGTAGTCACATAGTTCTTTCTTCTCCAAGGTTTCTGGATGGGTCTAGGCTAAAGATGGAGCATGTTGGCTTGGGGACAGCCCTGGGCTTGGGTAGCGCTGTCCTGTGGTGTTTGGACGTAGTGCCCTGGGTCTCTAGTTTGGGTGCTTCTGTACAGAGGTCTGTTGCCCAGTTGTACCCTCATTTTTCTCCGCTGATTGACTTCAGATGAGATCGCACACTGCAGTGTAGGCATTGGCCTTCTGGATGTTTTCTTTCTTTGTTTTTTGAGGCATCCAGCAAACTTTTTTTTTGCTGATATTCAAAGCAGAAAAATGTATTGGTATAGGCTGTTGGGTATATTTGGTGGGCTGGAGCCTGCTTTGAGATCCTCTCCAAGTCCAAGAGTGTGCTCTGGGGCAGTTTGATAGGTGAGATGAAAACCTGTCATGGCACAGAATTCGTTTTCTTTGTTTTCAAAGATTTCTTTTTTTAAAGCAATCTCTTCTTTACTGTGAGGGTGCTGGAGCCCTGGCCCAGGCTGCCCAGAGAGGGTGTGGAGTCTCCTGCTCTGGAGACTTTCCAACCCGCCTGGATGCGTTCCTGTGGGGCTGCCCTGGGTGACCCTGCTCTGGCAGGGGGTGGCACTGGGGGATCTCTAGAGCTCCCTTCCAATCTTGAACATTCTATGATTCTATGAAATGCCAGCTAAATTTGCATCACTCTTTTAACTATATTGCCTCTGTGGGTGGTGGAATGAAGTTCTGGGCATAAAAAGTGCTTTTCCTTGTCCAGCTGAGTCTGTAGCAACCGTGAAGACCAGAAGAAGAAGCAGCCAAGTGAGAACCTGCTCTCTGTGTGCTTTCTCCGTGGTAGGAAATCACAAAACCTATTAGGAGATTTTATTCCTGTGGGGTTTCCAGGCCCATAGCCTTTTGAAGAAACCAAACGGTAGACAAAATCCTTCTGTCCTCCAGACTGTACTGCTTTCCATAAACCTTATCTGGAGCAAGACTTGGCCCTTTGCTTTGCTTCATGCGCTTCCTTGGAGCCAGCAAAAATACTCCTTGCAGTATGGAACAAACCTATCTGAGAAGATGGGGTGTGGAGATTTGCGATGGTTGATCAGGAGCCATGGTGGAGCACCCTTAGGGCTGCGTGTGGAGCTGTGGCCCAGGTGTTGTTCTGGGTCCCTCTCCTTCGCCATTCCCTGATACACAGAACTGCTTGCCTGTTGGCAGCAGATTGTTTGTTCTGAAGCCCACGAGAAGGAAGATCAGAGACTACCAAATGTTCCTCCAACCTCCAGGCAATAGTCTACATTTCTTGTGGTGTGTTGGCAGTAGGTTGACCCAACTGCTTTGCTGTATGTTTAGTGAGGTGGAATGGGGTTGAACCTAGATGATCTTTAAGGTCTCTTCCAACCCAAACCCTTCTATGATTCTATGAATAAGAAAGATGAGGAGCAGAGAGGGATGGTCAAAACCTTGTTCTGCTTGAAGCCAGTTGGTTTGGAAGGATCTTATCCTGATAGCTACAGGAATCTGACACCCCAAAACACGAAATAAGATTCTCTGTAAATTTTACATGTTAATATGTTAAACTTTCCAGATACTTTTGTAAGCAGGTGTCTGCTGTCTTCAATCTTCCATCTTTCATATACTTCTTGCAGAAATCTAGTTGCGTTTTGCATTCAATTGCAATAGACTTGACTGTCTTCTCCCTGTGATGGTAGATATGCCACTTAAGCCGAGGGTAAGCCAAAACAAGGGTAGAAGATAAAAGCTGGGACCAAATCTGAGATGGAAATGAGGAACTTCATGCAGTAGGAAACCAACTTCTATTGTCATTTGCTCTTTTAAAGTCTTCTCCCAAATATCTTTCCTCACCTGGTGCATCAGGTTGAGGCAGGTTGTCTTTGCTTTTGGCGTCTGAAGAAGATGCTGTCCATAATATTGAATCCTACTTGCTTTCAGGTTGTTTGTCCTAAATATACATTTCTTATAGAAATATTAGGCTCACTATGATGATCTTTGACCTCAGATTGTGGGGAAAAGTCACCCAGAGGATTAATAATAGCAAGGACTTATCTGAGCAGCCTCCATGAAGCCTGGAAACTCACCTCCCATTACTGGAACCAACAAGGCTGGTCTAAACCAATCAAACTGGTCTAAAAACAATCAGCCTAAGCATGTGGAAACCGTCCAAGCATGTCAGAGACAAGAAGAGCTCTTGATTTTAGAGCTGGAGGCTACAGATAGCATGGAAATAAATCCTTTTTGGCAAACACCCATGCAGCTGTTTTTCAGCATGCCTTAACCGTGCCGAGAAAGACCTCGTGTGGTGCTTACACCATTGAGCTCCTTCCTGCGTGTCCATCTCCATTCTGAGCACAGGCACCGTGCTGGGAGGAGCATTTTTTGGCAGTGCTGACTCACTGGCTTTGCACAACTCCGGAGTGGAAAAGTACGCATTGCTGGGACAAAGTGAGCCAGCAGTGTGCCCTTGTTGCCAAGAAGGCCAATGGCATCCTGGGCTGCAGTAAGAAGAGTGTGGCCAGTAGGTCAAGGGAGGTCACATTCTCCCTCTATTCTGCCCTGGTGAGGCCACATCCGGATACTGTGCCCAGTTCTGGGCTCCCCAGTTCAAGAGGGACAGGGAGAGAGCTCAGCACAGGGTAATGAAGATGACTGGAGCATCTCTCTTACAAGGAAAGGTTGAGAGAGCTGGGACTGTTTAGCCTGGAGAAGAGAAGGCTGAGAGGAGACCTTATCAATGTCTATAAACATCTAAAGGGTGGGTGCAGGGAGGATGGAGCCGGACTCTTTTCAGTGGGGCCCAGTGACAGGACAAGAAGCAACAGGCACAAGCTGGCACACAGGGAGTTTCATCTAAATATGAGGAAGAACTTTCCTGTGAGGGAGATGGAGCACTGGCACAAGCTGCCCTGGGGAAGTTGTGGAGTCTCCATTTTTGGAGACTTTCAAAACCCATCTGAATGCCATCCTGTGTGATGTGTGCTGGGTGATCCTGCAGGGAGTTTGGACTGGATGATCTCTAGAGGTCCCTTCCAACTCCAACAATTCTGGGATTCCGTGGAAGTGCCTTGGTGGGCAGCCAGCGTTCAGTTGCACAGATTTGCCTGTTGTGTTATCGCGTGGGAATGTTTTGCTTTGTGTCCTGGTGTTCCTGGGAAACTTCCAGAAAATACGGCCTTGCACATGTGGACTGACTTATTTGTAATGACACCCACATGTGAAGTTCCTGATATATGTTGGCATTCTCACAGAGGTGCCGTGTTGTCGTCTTGTGGTGCCAAATATTAGTGGATGCAGTGGTGAAGACTCGTGGTTGGTGTTATGGCTTATTGGGGAGCTTTCAGCTAACAAAGAAAGAACTGGTGATTTCTTGCTGTTGTTTGGATTGTTGTGTTTGTGGGTTTTTTCCTAGGTAATTTTGAGGGCCTTTATTTCATCTTATCTTAGTTGTTGGCAAAGTTTTGGTACCCATTTGGGATGACTTTTTTAAGGACTCTGAAGTGCTTTGGTCTACACTGCTTGTGTTGCTGAAATGAAGAATTTGGTGTGCTGTATACACCCACCTATAAAAAATACATCCAGTTAACCTATCTGCTGGTCCAATCGATAGTGCCAGACAATCACAATTAGCAACTTCTGTCAGACCTGGAGAAAGTCTTCTGTTCATTGAAATAAATCTACGTAAGCTTAAGTAGCCTTTCATTAAATCAAGCTTCAGCTATTTATTTTTGTGGGGTTTTTTTTATGTGCAGAACAATAATGAGGTCTCATCTCCTGTATCTAGTTATTAAATTTCTAATGGCTTTTTGCTTATGAGTTTATCCTGTTGTCCAAGGGAATCATTTAGGTTTTTTTCCTCTCTTGATTGTGTACTTTTTCCCTTCATTCCTGTCTAGTTGAGCAGTTTCCAAAAGTGCTGGATGTGAATGTACTCTAAAATCCTTAGAATTCCTAGGGATTAAAGATACATTTTACTTTTTAAACAGTGTCATTATTGCCTCATAGTGACCTGGCATCAGATAATGCTGAAATCAAGGTACTGGTAGGTCACACACTAAGTCCCACACAGGGTACTTCTAAAAGATATCTTTTTATAGCAAGTAAAATACCATTTTTTAGGTATTGCCCTAATCATGCCTTGTGGTTTTAGGCCAATTATAGGCTCATGAGGAGATTTATACTAGAGACATAAGGGAGGGAAAGTTAAAAAAAAAAAAATCAATTAAAATGATGCTCGTGTTTCCGAAAGGATGAGAAAATATCCTTAGAGCTTGTTGATGAAGCAAAGATCAAATCCTGTAGTGCAGCCCAGGGCACAGTGCCAGAGGTCTGCAGCTATGCTTTGGAACAAATTTGGTTCTTCTGTGCAAGCTTCTTCATTAGCCTTCCCAACGTACAAATGCTGCAGT